ACAAACCCCCGAGCTGCCCGCTGGGCCCCGTAGTGAGCGGGAGCAGCAGCTGCGGGGCGACACAGCTTTGATGTCAGAGCCCTTTGCGGGGAGCACCGGTGCTTGCTAGTCGCTCCCAGAGACGATGCGAGTCCTTGCTTGTTTGTTTGTTTAAATTCTTATTTTGCAAGCAAACGCCCAGGGTGCAGTGTAGTTGCAGGCAGTATGCTGTGATACAAATGCATACGATAAAACGTTCTGCTTATTCCAAAAGTCCCATGCGACTGCCTGAAAGTGTTGAGATCTGCACACCCCCCTCGTTGCTTTTGGAGGATATTTGTGCTTCAAAGCGTTACGGACACAGGTCACTGGCTCTGTTAGGCTCTCAAAGTCAGGAGGGGGTTGCTTGGCTTGTGCATTTGCATCCCATGAAATAAGGAAGGCAGCCAAGCAGAGCAGAGGGAGTGGAACTCAGGGGAAGGCCAGAAGTGTGAGCAGTGCATGGCAGTGTGTAGGAATAAAGGCTGTTCCAGTGACATCCAGGGATGCCTTAGCAAGTGTGTAATCCTTCAGTGCGACTCTTGTTCAACATCTTTTAGGTTTGCCCTTTTGAAGGGGAGAAAAAAAAAGATATTTTGATGTGTTTGCTCCGTGTTCTAGCAATTGCTACCATTATTCTAATTTTCTCTGTGGAAACTGAAAAAGGTATTTTAAATAGATGAACAATACACAATAAAAAGGAAACTGGATTTCCAGCAGATAAAGTGTTAAGCTGTTCTGTCAGTCCTAGTCTGTGTATTTGTCATTTTCCTATGGTAGTAGGTTTTTCTCCAGAAAAAGAAATAGGGGAACTTGGAAAGATTTGATGCAAAGCACTGTCACGCGTGCATGTTTTCTAATGCTAGATATTTAATAAGTATGTAAGATACTGAAAAATGTTAATATAAAATCTATGTTTTTAATGCTAACAAAATAATAACAAAGAGAAAAAATCGAAATATTGTTATTAGTCTAATTTTGTGACTTTAGTACTGAAAAATGTTAATATGAAATCTGTTTTTAATGCTAACGGTATTTTGATTTTTTTCGCTCTGTTATTACTTTGTTATTAGTCTAATTTTGTGACTTTAACTAGCAGAACTCTTGCATCATTGTCAACACTGTCATTTTCAGTTCTGCCTAGCAAATGTGTATTTGAAGTCTTCATTGCTTTCAAGTGATAAATGTATCCACTTTTTAAAGCAGCTGCCTTATTTTTCCTGTTTTGGGGCAAGTTGATATCCTAGGTCAGGAATATATGTTGTGACATTTTTCTGCATGTAACTTTTCTTGTTTATTTCAGAAATGAGGGTTCATTGACATCAACTTTAAGAACACTTCTGTTCTTCACAGCTTTAATGATCACATTGCCGGTTGGGCTGTATTTTTCATCAAAGGCTTATATATTTGAAGGTAATTTTGTTTCTGCTGATTAGTAATACTATTACAAAAGTGGAAAATTATTTTCTAATAGTATCTTTGAGCTTCTTCCTGTACATTCCTGTTTTGAATATCTGTTTCCTTTTGCAGGCTAAGGTCACTGTAGTGTGTGATTAGAACTGGGAAGTGAAATAAATGGTCAATATCTCTTTCTCTGCAATGTGGCCTGCAATCTCATATTCACTGCTGTTTGTTGTAGAATGATTTGTATTGTAAACAGAAGCAGCATTCCCATTACCCATGTAACACCTCCCTTCAGCACACCTTTATCAGAACCATCAGGGTATGTTTTCTGCAGGCTTTTTGAGCTAATTGTGTTCAAAACAGAACAATTCCAGGGTTTTTGTTTGTTTGTTTTGTTTTAAAACACACCTACACTTAAAAGTATAAACAATTAAGCCATAAGCTGGTTCCAGACGTTGAATGTGTGGCTGAATGTAGAGCTTTTCTCTAAAACTAAAGGGAAAATGCAAGTGATTTTTAACTGCTCATATGGAGTGATACTGTTAAAACTGCTAACCACCAAGTTTTAGCCTTGATTCTGCAAAGCTATAACAACTTTCTAGTACAGTAGAAAAGGGAAGAGAGAGGGGGAAAGCAAGCAGCTGCTCTTAAAAGCAGTTCATGAGACTATAACTAAGTTCAAAGGTCTTTCAAGGTGTTTCCCCATTGTTGTGTGATACTAGGTGTAGTTCTGAAAGTTGAAGTTGAAAACCTGCTAAATACTTTTAAAATACTTAAAAGATCCAAAATGCTAAAAAGTATCTTGAATCTGAGGCATAGCATAATGTGGCAAGCTAAACCTTAACTCTTGGTCAGTTAAGAACAAGAACTGCCAAGAATGACAGGATTGATTTTGATTTTTTGGAGCGGATGGGTGAAGATAAGTGGTATCTTAAAATTCTTCCGGTGTCTAAAGTCGTAATATTTTAGTGTTTGTTTAGGAATCACTTTTTATGACCTAGAAATGCAAGTTAAAAAGTGTCTATGTTTAACTGTATTTCTACTGCTATGTCCTTTTATAATGGCAAGCAATGCATAATCATCTCTCCTCTGTTTCCCTACCTTACCAAGAAAAACATAATTATGAAAAGAGGATATTGATGTTTATTTGGTGCCAAAAGGTAATAGAAGGAAAAAAAAATGACTATATATTAAATGCTGGATACTTGCAGTGTTGCTTTAATCTGGAAATAGTTCAGAGGTTTATAATTCTCATTGTGAATTCTTTCCTATGCAACTTTCTCAGCTCAGTCTTGTGATACAAGAGTAACTTGGTCTGAAAAAATTGTCTACAAATTCTGATCTAAAACAATTGTGACTTGATATGTCAGAGTTCTTAATAACTAATATTCTTCTCTTTATTTTTTTTTTAATTCCTCAGGTACCTTAGGAATGTCCAACAGAGACAGCTATTTTTATGCTGCCATAGTTGCTGTAGTTACTGTTCATGTGGTACTTGCTCTGTTTGTGTACGTGGCTTGGAATGAAGGTACTCGACAGTGGCGGGAAGGCAAACAGGACTAAAACGAAAATCGGCATCCTCTGATACCTACAGACTGTAAATAGAATTTCTTGTGAATTGAGTTAAAAGCATTCTTCAACATAGTATATGTGTATACAAATACAAGGCTGATGCCTCAGCTGTGTTTTGGTTAGAACAAGACTTATACTCTTCTCAGACATGTGCCAGTGTTTTCTCTAATGCTGGTGGAAGTTGTACACTAAGTCAGCCTCTACTAGGCGGGGCTGTAGAGATCTTCACCTGAAATTAGAATGAAATAATAGCAGAGTGGCATACAATAGCCACAATAGCAGAAACAATAGCAGAGTGGCAGAGTGTGGCAGGGAATCCTGCAGCTATTTTTGCCGTTCTTAGCATTTTCCTGGTTTTCTTTCTTTGGAAATAATATTGACACGTTGCAAAAATGTTTTGCAATAACTAACTTACTATGCGGCTCAAACAGGAAAGGTGTCATTTCAATTTGTTGTGGATAGCTTCCCTATTTTCACAGCATACAATCGAACTGAGCATTGTTTTGTGCTAATCGATGTGCTAATACATGTGCAGTCTAATTTTGTTTTTGGTGTTGGAAGTGGAATAAAAGCAATGGCTGAACAGGCAGCTCTTTACAGTGGTATGTTGTGCAGAGGCTTTTTAACTCCAGAGACCAAAATAATGCAAAATGAGTTGAGGAAGTCTTCTGAAAAACTTGCAAAGGAACAGCTACTAAACTTTGTTAAAGTTTTGTCATTATTTTCATATTAAAAACTAAAATAAAAATGTTGCTTTTTGGCTTTTGTAATTCAGTTGGAGGAAAAATGTCAAGTTATAGAATCATGTCTGATGAATAAGTTGTTTAAATAGTAATACATGGTAGATGTGTTTAGTGCCTTTGTAGTAGTATTCTTGTTTGAGCCAAAAACATTGGATGAATCTTGTCTCATGAAGTGGAATTAGTCTTCTAAAAAAAAAAAAAAAGTATTTCCAGTTTTAAAAGTCAAAAATGGAACTTGTTGGAAACTCAGGTGGTATCTTTTTAAAGTGAAATGTCAACTTTGTTTTTTTCATTTTCAAATGTGATTTTTTTATTATGACATAAAATTTAACTTTTAATTTTCTTTTTCAGTGTTTTGGATGGGTTATCATACTACTGTCTGGCTTATCTTTCTATTTATCTACAGTTAATTCTGATGATGCAAAGGAGATGATACAGCATTTTTCTTTTGTGTGAATATTTTAAATTGTGATTGCTTCTGAACTTCTGTGCAAGTTCTTTTATATAATTGTGATGCTGGTGGTGAAATTCTAGACAAAGTTAACATCTTTAACCCACTCAAATGGGCAATAGAGGAGTGAGTGAGATCTGAGGGAGAAAACAAGCTGTAGCTGCCTGCAAACATCCTTTGTGAAGCAGAACACAAGAGTTATTGCATTAAGGAAAACTTAATATTTAAAGAAAAGCTAGCTATATATTGTGGAATGATACAACACGTTGATCACTTTTGTTGTTGTTGTTTTTTTTTTCTTGATGGTATAGTGGGACTTTTTGAATTAAACCATGGTGAGATTTTTTTTTTTTTTTTTTATCTCCCAGGATAATACCTTGAAATTCTTTTGGCTGTTCTGTTGCTGTTAGTAAACTTGTTAAATTCCAGAAATATATATATATTTTTTTCTCCATGCATAGAAATTTCCTGCCTTTTAAGTGATTGTGCTTTAAGTCTTTTTGTTCCACTGAATTTTCCAAGTGATTATATTAATTAAGCATTTTCTAGAATGTTTTTTGTTTTGTATAGGACTTGGAATGTTTTTGATACTATATTTGTCCTACATAAAACATGTCCATGAATATGACAAAAATTGGCTAGCGATTAAATATGTCATATTTAATGTTAGATTTAGTGTTAAATATGACAAAAATTGGCTAACGATGCCCAGTAGCTAGCGGAACGTGCTCCCACGGATCGTTTTCCTCCTTTCCATCCTTGCTGTGCGCAGGACATTCCCGGGATGTGCTGGAATGCAGCTGAAGCAAGAGCAGCGAAGCTCATTGCTACCCTGCTTTGCACTACTACAAATCAATATTTATTTTTATTTCTGTACCATTACCTTTTCTCATCCAGAAGTCCCATGTTAGGTTGCTGCTGGCACATTGGAGAATGGTCTTGTAGTAACTTGTAATTTATATTTAATTTGTATAATGCCACATTTCATTTTTTTCTGTTCTCCAGTATATGAACTGTATATTGTATAATAAATACTGCCCTTTAATAAAGATTATCCTGCAGTGCAAGTTCCCCTGCTGAGAGCCAGTAAACACATACTTATGCCGAACAGTTTCCGAATTATGTCTTTAATGCTGCTCATGTGGTACAGCTTGTAACATATAATGTTTTAATGTATTTCTGGCACTTTTACTCAATTTATAATGGGGTATAAATGGGAAAACTACTGTTGCGCTTCATTAACTGAATGTTGTGCTATGTGTGCGCAATTTGTTTCAAATAGCAGAATCCCTAGACATTAAAATTGCATTTCCTAGGAATGTTAAGGAACGATAATAGCTCGTTATAATTGTTTAGTTACAAAAATCTGAAATGTTTGATCGCTGTAATGCCTCAAGAGTTGGGAATAGCAAGAGCTGAGTATCCATCCGTAGGAAGATCCTTTCTTTCAAGGTAATGCTGTGGTCTGTGGTGTTCTCCCTGGGAAAATACAGTGACTCATGAGTTGCTGGGCAGCCAGGAGGGTGTTTGTTGCCTATTCTTGGAAGCTGCAGCAGCAGCTCCAGGTAAGTGATGCAATTAAAACAGTCAAGCAGTGGAATTGCACCGTTAGAGAGCTCAAACAGAAGCTGCAGCCGTAAGATGTGAAGTGTACCTGGAATTAGATACTCTCTTGGGATTTCCGTTGTACCTTATTAATGCTAACATTAATTATGCTTTGGGAGCTTTGTTGCAGTCTCTTTAGGTTGGATGTTTACTTTCACGTATCGGTTATCCTAGTTCCTGTCAAAGCTAATTCTAAGGCAGGTTTTCTTAACTGTGTAATGTTTAGGGTTTGTATAATACTATATAGAGCTGTGGAATGATCAGCATTATGATTTTTTTTTGTATAAAATGGTAATGTAAACTTTATAATGATATACTTTAAAGTGATACTATGTTCATAAGTGTGTGCTCATTTTGTTACTATGAATGGAGTTGGGACAGTTGTTACTAGTAAGAAAAATATTGGAGAAACTTTGCCTGCACAAGCTGTTCAGTACTTGAAAATGACCTAACATTTAGAAGTAAACCATTGCCTGTCTTTACAGACTGACTCTTTTGCAGTTTAGCTAAAGCAAAATAATATATCAGTGAGTACATATTTTGAGACCAAGATTGCAGTGGAAAATCCCTGGAATATTTCCCAGCTTTAAAGAGTAGAAGCAATTGGGGATACTAAGAACTAGAAGATCAGTTATTTTTCAAAATTACTTTAATTTTATTCTGTATTGCTTATGATCTCTCTGTCTGACTTTTAAATGCCTGCAGAAAAACTGTAGTAGCTACCCAGTCTGTGCAAGCGTTTAAGTGAGCAGCTTTGATCTAATTCATCTGTTAACTGCTCACGCTGAATAGGAAGTCTCCAGAGAAAATAGTGGTGTGTTAGTTATGTCAGACCTAACACTGATTAATGTTTGCAAACTTTAAAATAAAGTAAAAGACTATCCACCTTGTATTGTTTAGGCAAGAGAGCTCTAGGAATAGCTATCCTTATTATTTTTGAGAAAACTGAACTCCCCTGTTATCTTTCCAGTGATAGTTGTTGGTACTGTGAAAATGGCTTAGTGTTTGATTTCTGTCCCGCAGCACTAGCAGGATGTCAAACTGGATGGAAGACTTTTCTGCACCATCCTGTGATGGTGGAGGGCAAGCTGATGTTGCCCTCAAAATTTATGTTCTCATGGAGTTCCTTGAGCAGCAACATGTCCGTTGCACTTTCAGAAGCTTTTAAGCAACTGCTCAATTATTTTCGCCAGATTATTCCAGCTCTGCTCAGGCATCCGATGGCCTCCCCAGTTGGAGAGGGTGCTCCAAGCCTGCAGGCGGGGTCATTGCTCATATATCAGTGATGGGAAAGGAGCAGGCTTTTAAAGAAAGTTAAACTACTCATTATTACAAATAATGTAACATAGTTATGATTAAAATTTAGGTAGGCTGCAGCCCATGGGGAGGGGGGAGAGGAAGGGCTGTACGACAGCAAAGGAGTGCCTGGTAGGGAGGGCGAGACCTGGAATGCGCTGGCGCAGCTCCGTGTTTGATGACTTAGGCACCATATGTTTCTGTTTATCCCGCGGTTCTCTGGGGGATTATGCAGAGTCATTGATCTGAAATATTAAATGTAAATCACACAGAATAGCAAGCCAATTCCATTTGTGACTTTCAGTTAAAGTTGTTCATAGGTAGGCAGCTTTGCATCTTTTTTTGCGCATGGCCTAGGACACGTTCTGCTTTCAGATGGCAAGCTGGCATTGTCGCTAGCTCTGGTGAGTCAGCTCTTAGAGCAGGGTCAAGTCCTTGGAGTGCAAATATTTTTTAAAATACCAAAGAGCAACTGCTGCTCTAAAGTCTCATTAGCTCTAATCAGCTGTTGCTTTAAGCAAGAAATAGAAACTTCTTGTTTCAAGTTCACACAAAACAAGGCTTTCTCTTTGACAAATTGTGAGGGGAGGCTCTCTCGT